GCTTGGGTCCTCACTCTACCACTTAAATCTCTGCTCACATCAAAAACCACTTTACTGACTGCTCAGGCTCAAGTACCCTGCATCAACCCTGCCCCCTCCTGGGATCGAGCCCCACGTTGGGCTCCCTGCTCCTCGGGGAGCCTGCTTCTCCCGCTGCTGGTGTGCTCTCTCTCTCTCTCTCTCTCTCTGTGTCAAATAAATAAAAATAAAATCTTACGGAGGCCTGGGTGGCTCAGTCGTTTAAGCGTCTGCCTTCGCCCCAGGTCATGATCTCGGGTCTGGGAATCGAGTCCCATGTTGGGCTCTCTGCTCCACGGAGAGTCTGCTTCCCCCTCTGCCTGCTGCTCGGTCTCCCTGCTTGTGCAAATAAATAAATAAAATCTTAAAAAAAAAAAAAAAAAAAAAGAACAAGATCCTCCCTTGTGTGGGGGAGGTGGGAGGGGGCTTGTTTCAATGCCCCGGATGTTCTTCGTCGGACCCTGACGGTCGCCCGCTGCTGACAGTATACATCAGGGAGGCTGAGTGCTCTCGAGCGAGGTGCACAGAGTGAGATAAACTGGCCAGGAACTGCAGAATAATAGAAAAGCACCCCTGTGCCTTGTCGCCCTTCTGAATCTGGCCTTGAACCCCTTCCTATCGGGAATGGGGGTGGGGGGGAGAGGAGGAGGTGGAGAATTGTTCGGCATCTGGGTTCCCTTTCACTTCTCTGTTATATTAAGCTTCTGCATGACTAACCTTCTCCCACAGTGTTTCCCAAGATGGTATGCCGCGGAACATCGATCCTGGCCAATAATCAGCGTCGTGGGAGCCGAAGTGCCCGGTGCATGAGTATGGGAAATGTCAGGGTCAACAGGCTTCTTTGTTACAGAATTCCCAGTGTGTTACAGAGGCAACCTGCGCCTGAGTCTCTACCTACGGCACACCATATATAGTATGGGGCACTCCCGAAGTCCTGCCGAGAGCAGAGCGTCAGTCTGAGAATACTGGTGGGGGCGGGGGACACAGCTTGGGAGAAACTGGGACTGTCACCCAAGCAGCCTGGGGCAAACTCCTCTTTCTAACCCGCTGCCTCTTCCTCATCAAAGGGAGGGGGGCAAGTGATGCTAACTCTCGCAGCCGCTGTGCAGCCTTGTGGCCTGGTAGCAGGCGCTCCGCTGGTGCCCAGGGTGGAGACTGGGCAGAATCTTGAGAAGAGAACAGGTGCGTGTCCTAGAAAACCAGCGGTCCCCCTCCCAGGCAGCGATGCCAAACTCTTGCTCAGATGCACAAGGAAACTGCAGGAATCCTGATGATTTGTGTCACCAGCTGCTTAACTGACATGTCAGTCCAGGAGCCAAGATCCAACGGAAGTGACCGTCTGAAGGTGCTGCTGGGCTACAGGTGGAACTTACCAAGGACGTTCCCAAGAGACCTCTTAGCCTCCCTCATCCATGTTATGGGTACAAAAGTGTCTGGCAGTAGAATTAAAAAAAAAAAAAGTCTCTGTAAGGGGAATTTCTTTGGGGCGAAGTTGAGCTGTTGATTCCAGCCCCCTTCCTCCAAGAGGGAGGGGAGAGCTTGGTGGGTGGCCCCTGGGATTGGTGAATTGATGGCTGAAAATCGAAAGGCAGGAGGTGGCTCTCAGCCAGATGTGCAGAGAAGGCTGTGTGTGGGGGGATGGAACCTCCTTCCCGCCAGTCTCAGGGTCTGGGAGTGGGGGGCACAGAGGTTTCCTCTGACCGAGGTAGAGAGCCTGGATTCTGCCCACAGGGCCTCTTGGAGTGGGGACGGGGGGGCTCCCACCAAAAGAGGACTGGGGAGCGATTCCCGGTGATCAAGGCCTGCCGGGAGTCGGGGGGCACGAGAGGCCCCTCATAGAACACCCTTATCCAGTGTAAGGGGACTCAGGGTGAGACTGTCTGCAATGTTGGGGCTCCCCAAGATCCTCGAAAGCTCCCTGAGGACAGTCACTTGAAACGCCTGCCCCATCCATCGAGTGGAAGTCCGACGGAGTCGTGGAAGCATTTTCCTTGCTCTGGCCCCACACTCCCCGCCTACCGAGGTCAGAACCCAGTCGCTGGAGGAAGAGAAGCCAGCGCTGCTTTCCGCCACAACGTGGCGCGCCTGCAGCCCTCGGAGCCCGGGGAGGGAGTTAGGGTCCAATCCAGCGGGGAGGGTTACCTTTGCCGTCTTCATCTGGCGGGCGCTGCGGCCCTTACTTTCCTCTCAGTCCAACCATATTTGTTGCTAATTCATCCACATCCTGAACGCAGGCAAATCTGTGTTCACGGGCCCCCCAACCTCACCCCTCCCTTGGGCTTCCCGAGTGAAGGGTGCTCACGTATCCAAAGAGAGCAGGAACGTACCTAGGTCACCCTCCCCGCCACCAGCCCTCCCAGGTTCCAGCACAGGAGTGGAGGAGCCGAGCTCCAGCAGCGGGGACCCTGTGGGAGGGGCTGGAACTGCTGCTCCCTGGAAACAAGGCTCAGCCCTCAAAGGGGAAAGAAGGTTTCAGAGCTGGTCCCCTGTCTGGTCTCCCTCTCACTGGCCAGCCACTGTGGGAAGAATCTAGGTCGGGTGATACAGAAGGGGGGCATCCCCAGGGACCAGAGGCAGGGTGTGGGGAGAGGCAGGGTGCAAAGTGGCAGTGAGCTGGGGGTCAGAGTGGGCTTTGGAGAAGGGTCCTGAGCTCAGCTGCACATGGGTGCTCGAGCCCCTGTGCCAGGCTTCGAGGTGGGCTCTGCATCCTGTGCATTGCCTGGTTGGGTGGCATCCCTGCGTGGTGTTTGGCATGGAGACATGGCTGGTCTGACAACTGGAGAGACCGGAAGGTGGACTGGGTATCAAACCGTAAGAACTCACTGTCGCCAGTCAGTGGTGATGGTGTTACAGTGGTTACTGAAATAAATTGTTGTAGGAGCTGCAGACGGAGGCATTACAGGGGAATGACATGATGACTTGGACTTGCTTTGAAGCAAGTCATCCAGATTCAGGGAGACAGAGGAAACAAGATTCTCTGAATGTGCATAATTTTTGAAGCTTGGTGAGAGGCTCTACTTCAGTGTATGTTCGAAATTTCCCATAAAGATAGATATATATATCTATATATCTACATATAGATATATATATCTATATATCACAGTGAATCAGTATGTTCCTTGTCATTTTCACCAAACAGCTGCCTCCCGGTTGTGAAGTTAGACCCCCTTTGAGGAGGCCAGAGGAGTTCAAACATTGCTTCTTCTATGGGTTCTTCTAGAAGCCTCAGAGATCATATGATGGTAGTCTGTTCCCAGATGACAGAAAACATGGTTAATGGGTGCAGTGTGTCACTTCTGGGCAGTGGAAGTAGTCATTCAAAAACTTAGGGGGTTGGGGCGCCTGGGTTGCTCAGTTGGTTGAGCATCTGACTCTTGATTTCAGCTCGAGTCATGATCTCAGGGTGGTGAGATGGAGCCCTATGTCAGGCTCCACCCTGGGTGTGGTCCTCTCTCTCCCTCTTCTCTGCACCCGCCCCCTGCACTCTCTCAAAAAAAAAAAAAAAAAAGAAAAAGTTGGGGGGTGGGGAAGATGCGTGTGTGGGCTCTGGATTGAGGCCTCTTCTTGCAGGCAGCTGGTGCTCCTCTGGGTGCCCTGGGACTCTGAGTACCCCTGGCTGGGGCAGAGGCCCTTTCCTCACCCGGCTGGACCAGCTTCCCTCAATCTCTGCCACACCCCAGTGTCAGACGTGGCGCTCTTCTGTGGCACCGTGGCACCTGCTGCTGGACTTCTGTCCTGAGCCTGCTAGCCAAATGCCTACGCTTGCACTTGCTCTTGGATGTCCCGGAGGCCCCTCACCTCACTTTACCGTGTCCCAGGCGTCATCCACCTTCAGACTCGCAGTGCTCTGCATCTTGGCCAATGGCACGGCCATCGGACCACAGAACGGGGAGGGGCCTGAACCGCACCCATGGCCCATAGGCAGCCCTTCACCTGCTGACGTGCCTCCCCCGGAAACTTCCCTCGGACCAGCCCTTCTTCTCCGCAGCCGCCACTTGTAGCCTGGTCGCCGCTGTCAGCGCCTCACGGAGATTAGGGCAACAGGCCCTCAGCTGTCACTCTTCATAGCCCAGCTAAGCTGACGGGGGCCTTGGGCCACTGGGAGGAAGAGGCCTGGCAGTCGCCCCTGCTTCCGGGCCTCTTGTCCTAGCGGAGTCTTGGATCTCGGAAGGTCGTTATCTCCGAGTCGTGAGGTCAAGCCCCACAATGGGCTCTGTGCTGGGTGTGGTGCCTGCTTGAGATTCTCTCTCTCCTTTTCCTTCTCCCACCCCCAAAAATAAGTAAATAAATAAAATATGGACAAATATGAACAGTAATAGTTTATATAAATATCCTTTTTCCTTTATGAACCTGGAAAAGGGTGGAATTATATAGAAATAAAAGTAGATCTTATAAGATCAATAATGGGTCCCTTTCCCCTTCCTTGACCTGGTGATTCCCCTAATTATTAATGTAAAGGTAATTGTTTTTGCTGGTATTACACAAGTAAAATAACAACTAGGTATGGTAATTAAGCTGAAAAAATTTTTTTAAGTTTTAAAATTTTTTTTAGAAATTCTAATCCCAACATTGGGCTCGAACTTATAGCCCTGGGACCGAGGGTTGCATGCTCCTCCACCTGAGCCAGGCAGACATCCTTCAGCTGAATTCTTTTTTTTTTTTTAAAGATTTATTTATTTTAGAGAGAGAGAGAGAGAGAGAGCATGAGCAGGAGGCACAGAGGGAGAGAGAGAATCCCAAGCAGATTGCACTGAATGCATGCGGAGCCCAATGTGGGGCACAGTCCCACGACCCCTAGACCAAGACCCAAACCGAGACCAAGAGTTGGATGCCCAACCCGCTCTGTCACCCAGGCGCCCCTAAGCTGAATTCTTTACAGTCCTCGAATCCGATGAGTGCTTACACACTGTATGCCAGCTAAAGTCCCATTTGCAAATGACCCAGGTGAGAACAAAAAAAAAATATGTCTATGAAACAGAATATAGTGTGAATCATGTCTAATTTTAAATATTTTAATTTATATATTTTCATGATTATAGGTCAATAAGAAATCCTTTTCAGCTTTAATTTCATTATAGAATATATTTGATAAGGATACATACAAACAGATTCATCTTTAATACACGTCTCTACGGTGGCCCGCACTTGCACCGCAGGCTGGAGACGGGACAAACATGCCTCCAGATGTGCTTATTAGTCAGCCACTCTGGACAACCAGCGCCGTGGAGTTCAGATAATTCCATTCATTTACTTGCCTAGAACAAGTAGAAATCTTAGTGTTTGTTTTTAAGTCTGTTTATTACTCTTCTATTTTTAAAATCTGAGATACATTCCCCAATGTAAACAATAAATTTCAATCTGTCACACAATCAAAATGGATAAGGCCTTCTTGACAAACGTACGCCGCCTCTGTCTGACTTGTCAGAGTGCAGTCTTATTTTGTAGTGTAGAGAGCCGTCCATGCACAGAAGACAGGAAAAGAAGCTGCCCTTGGCACCCGGTGGAACCTTCCAGACTTCTCCCCGCCGCAGGTTTATTGTACACTTCAGAGATACTGTTTTGACTTGGTCTACTTGGTCTTAGAATACAAATATACAATGTCCATAAGCATAAAATAGTAAAGCCTAGCCTTACGTCTTTAGGATGAATTTCTACAGTCCTATACAATACCAGATCATGCCGACTCGTAGATGGAAGAAGGTGGCTTAGATGTCTCCACCGCTCCTCCGGGCAAGTGAGCGCGGGACAGAAGGGAGGGAGGCGGGGGCCTGCACTGGGGTAGGCGGACAGTGTCACTGCGACTCTACGGTGCCCGCATACCCTGCTGAAGTGAGGAAGTTATCCTGGAGCACAGTCTGCTTAACGCAAGAAGACTGCAACCCTTTTCTCGCCAGCCTCCCGGAGGGAGGACGGAAGGAACCCTCGGGGAATGTAACCAAATAAAGCCACATTTGCGTTTCCCAATTCAGCTGTGCAGCTCAGTCCTCCTCGCTCATCTCCATCGCTTTATCCCCTTAGGACCAATTAATCAATAGCGATCCCAATTCAGTACCTCATTATTATCATAAATATTTCACTTAGCGAGCTAGGTGGGGAGAGAGTAAAGCTTATGTACAATATTTTAAAAGGCATTTCTGTGACCATTTTTGAAGGGTTCGTAGAAAAGTTACGAAGCATATACCAGTCGCTTCTGTTGATGTCACCATAATGTAAACCCTGGCATGTTTTTTTTTAATATGAAATGTGCACTGTTTTATATACTGTACAACCAAGGAGAACCGTGAATCGCTGCTCTGGTGTGACGCTCACTGATTCGCTAAGCTAAGGTAACCGGTAGAGGGAGTGGTTTTCCTGAGGTTTGTCAGAACTTCTCAGACAGAACAGAAATCACAGTGGTGGAGCCCAGCACGAGTGCCTGCCCCTGTCCTGCTCCCCGCGCTTCCTGCTGGACTAAATGACCCGCCACTGCATGATGCTCGTGTCCTTGCCGCCCGTGGAGATGAGGTGGCTGTCGCCACAGAGAAAATCGACGTTGGTGACGTGGCTGCTGTGCCCACTGTATACGTGGCTAGGAGCCTGGGGAAGAAGGACAGAGAAAGAGCTTAATGCAGAGTGTCCTATGCGGAGTCGGAAAGTCCTGGAATTCTACACTCATTCTTCCCTCTCGCAGCAGCTCTCACACATGCACCTGCTTCGTGCACAGGCGCAGTAGGGATGTGCCAACAAACCGCGCAGAGGCCCTCCCTGCAGCCCGAGAGTCTGGCCTGGTGGGGGGGGACAGAGACAGGCAGGGGACACATTCAGGGCCCAAGCACTGTACCAGGCCTGGGACTGCCCAAAGGAAGGACCAACCAGGTGCCCCGGGTTGAGGGGGAAGGCGAAGGGCTTCAGGTCTGGGAAGGACGGGGCAGGGTGATCTAGGCACTGGTGTTGGCTCAGCTCCAGCAGGGCTGGAGCAGAGAGAGGCTGGTGGGGGGCGTGAGGCCCATTTAAGGAAGCCACAGAGGTGGACAAGCCAGCTCCAAGGGCTCTGTGGGTGGGGGTTCTCCCTAGAGAGCCGTGGGGAGCCCAGAAGAGCTCCAGGACAGCGGGACGACAGGGTTGTGTCTGCACGCAAGACTGGCAGGTTCATGCAGGCGGCCTTTCTAGTCCATCACCAGACACCAGGTGGGGCCACGATGCACGCGTCCTGAGGGCAGGGTCCGGGGGGAAGACCATACCCTGAACTGTGAGCAAGGATAAGAGAACAGGTGCACTTTGCCGAAGTCGTCGCCGGTGGACAGCAGCTTCCTCTCATGGGCCCGACACACGGCGTTGATGTCGGTTCCGTCAGAGCCCTCCGGCCACACTCCTGAAATGAAGGCCATAGACAGAGCCCTGAAGTCCAGAGACACCAGGGCACGCTGCGCGGGGCCCGCCACTGAGCTGCCACAGAGATCAGATCGCCCGGAGTCCCTGGCTCTCGAAGCCGGGGCCAGCTCCCAGCCTGCCCGTGATCGTCTCCCCCGCGGCAGCTCCCAGATCACTGGTCCCAGGCAAGAGCCACGGCAGGCTCTGGGCTCCTGTGACTCTCGGGGGCCCCTTCCTTCTGGACTCCACAGCACAGAGCGTGCCAGAAACCCTGGCTTGGGACACAATGCCTTTCCTTTATTCCCAAAGCATCTGAGGGGAAGCTGACCAGTCCTCAGCCTACAGTTTCCTAACTTTTGGGTTTTTTGGGGGAACTCTTTATGAGTCTCTCCAAAGGACTGTTTATCTCTGTATGTGCCTTTCAGGTTTTTTTTTGTTTTGTTTTTTTTTTAGATTCTCTTTATTTATGAGAGACAGTGTGTGTGTATAGTGAGGCGGGGGAGCAGAGGGAGAGGGACAAGCAGAGTCCTCGCTGAGCATGGAGCCCGAGGAGGGGGGCCCGGAGGGCTAGATCCCACTGCCCTGAGATCATGACCTGAGCTGAAATCAAGAGTCAGCAGACGTTCAACAGACTGAGCCACCCAGGCGCCCTCGGTGTTTCTTGGTATCTGCCCTCTGTGGCTGCTCGGGTGGCATCCGGCAGGTGTGGCGTCTGCCTGCCATGGGTCTGGAGCCTGGCGGGGGGAGGGGGCAGTGTCTGCTGATCATTGCTCTGGGAGACCCTTTTGGTCCCAATAACTTTGCATCTGAGATAGCTGACTGTACATCCATTTCTCAACTGGCAGATCTAGAGTAAATCCAGGAGTTAGCCAGAAAATGATAAATGCTAGCTCTAAAGAGATTTGTGAAATTCTGACCACCTTACTGACTTATGATCTTACATAAAGAGATTATAAATATTGTCTTTTCTTTTTTATTCTGCTACACTGTGGTAATTTATTTTACACCATTTATAAATATATTCCAATCTCAACTTTACAGGAAGTGAAAAATTTAAAGAACCAAAAAAAATATATAACTAACAAATGATAAATAGATTGAGTGCCATCTGGCCTATCTTTCTAGGAAGTCTGGCACAACCTCATAGAAGATTCTAGAATATCTCAGGACTCATTTCATACAATAAGGGTTAAACCTCTCTCTGGTTCTCGCCTGGCTCTTCCCCTGGGAGCAGCAGGGAGCATGTCCTTGTAGGGTTCATGTGGCAACAGAGCAGTTGGACAAAACCGGCGACCATGAGAGCTTGTAACTATTAGAGAAATATTCTAAAAGTGGATACACGTTATTTTGAACTGAATGAAAGCTTCAGAAAACTTACCAAAGACATGGAACCCCAAAGTGCAGGTGTAAGTAGCCCACTCAATGTCTCTCGTAGTTTCCACACTTACGACTTGCTTACAAGCCGAGGGAACCCCTGGAACAAGCAGTACAAGTCTGGTGACGTCTGAGCCAAAGGCCCCCCTCCTCCCCTGACAAGGCTGGCCCTTAGAGCCCTGTCCCGCCAGCGAGAGCCCTGCGGAGTGGGACCCCTTCTGCTTCCCAGCCCCATGTGCCCAACCCCTGGGGCCTCCGGGTACCACCTCCCATCCATTTCCCTCTTTGGGGCTGTTTCCTGCAGTTTGGCTTCTCTTTGACCATCCGCGGGTACCTTGGCCTCCAACTGCTCAGTGTCTCCCTCCCCCGCCCCCTCACAGAGCCCTTGAACAGCTGCCACTGGCTGTCACGTCAGGCCCCCTAGCTGTCCCCCAACACACACACACACACACACACACACACACACCCTTTCAGCCCGGGGTTAGGAGTGGCAGCTTATGGAAACCAATCATACCCAGGCGATTTGTTTGTTCCCCAAACGAGTTCTCACTCATAGTGTATGAGACCGTGTCTGAGAAGACTCTAGACCCATGGCCTATTTCTGAAGTCTGTCCCCCTGCTTCTGCCCTGTGTCAGGCGGCACCTTGGACAGGGCAGGGAGGGAAGACCGGGTACCACCTGGCATGTGCTATTTCCCTCTTTCCTCCAAGCCAGCAGCTCCACCTGTCTGGGTTCCCCAGCAAGTGGATGGCTGCCTCCCTGCGCACTGGCTCTTGATGCCGTGGCCTCATGTCTGAGCCCAGATTTCCTGTCTATAAAAGGGATAAGCCTGGAGAGTTGTGGATCATGAGAGAAAATGTATATAAAGTTTTTAGTACCAGGAGACCCTCCTTTTGCCTCACGATCCCCGTGCTTAGCCCAGAGCTCGGCACACGGCAAGTGCCGGGCACACGTGTAAGGAGCCAGTGCATGGGGTGTGGCCTGTGCTCCGGAAGTGCCAGCCTTATCATCCTCAGTGTCCTCAGGTCCTGCCTGGATACAGACACTGCCAGGAGGGGTGGGGAGGGAAGCAGAAGGGGCCCCGGGGGCTGCTGCCCCCCCAGGAATTAAAGACTTCACTGTGTCTGCCTGCTTGGGATGACGCCTTCGCAACCCACTCTTTCTTGCCCCACTTGCCCCCCTCAGGTGTCTCCCTCCAGGACTTGGCATCCCTCTCCTTGGAGCCCAGCATCTTCTGCTCCAGAGGGGCCCACACTACCCTGGGCCCCCAAGGATCTCAGTGGTGGGAAGGATCTTAGAGGTGGCCCTTCCCAACTCCCCTGAGTTCTAGAAAAGGAAATGGAGGCCTGGAGGCGATGGCACAGACCGAGGCAGTATGGGAAGTGGGGTTTTGCAGGAGACCCCGTTTTGGTCCCAGAGTGAATGTTCTATGTGATCCAAACCCAGACAGGCCCTGGGGTGTACTCACAGTAAAGGATTTCATAGTCTCCAGAATTTGACACGAGGAATTGTGAGTTCACAGACCAGTCCAGGTGGGTAATGAAGCTGGAATGACCCTGGGAGGGAAGAGCGGGATACGTTTCATGTGCCTTGTAAATTCCTGGCACGACAGACACACGGTGACCACACACATCCCCACGAAAATGAGAAGAGCGCCTACCGAGCACTTGCCAACACGCGTGTACTTCCTCCCATTGTCGCTGACCCCGTAGATGTAGATGCAGTTGTCATGCGAGCCGATAGCTAAGAAGGTCCCGTCTGCAGAAATACACAATGACATTTATTTTAAATACAAACACTTATCAATGACAAGTAATGCTAGTGACATCACAGATCTAGAAAAAAATAGCCAAATTAGGGACTTAAAGAGAAAACTTTGCTTTTCAGGGAGTCCTATACCACTTCCAAAGCTGTCTTTTAGAAATCCACTCCTGGGGGCGCCTGGGTGGCTCAGGTCTGGTCATGATCCCAGGGTTCTGGGATCGAGCCCCGCATCGATCCCCCCCCCGCCCCCGCCGTCTCTGCATGCTTCTCTGCCTACTTGTGATCTCTGTCTGTTGAATAAATAAAATCCTTAAAAAAAAAAAAAAAGTCCACTCCTGACCAGATCTCTCCCATTAGCAGCTCCGTCCCTGCCACTCCCACAGGGAAGGACCAACAGTCGTTCCCTCGATGACGGGCCGACAAGACCCTCCCTGATGTGGCCACCTCGCTCCTCACTGAGCTTCGGGCTCTCAGACCTTTGCACATACCATCCTCCCTCCACCACCCTGCCCTGCCTGAAAGGCCCCTCCCACTGCACCTCTGCACACACTGTCTTTCCCTCTATCCCTGCCCTGCCTGGAAGACCCCTCCTACCTCATCTCTGCACGCTCTGTCCCCACCACCCCACCCCCTTGCCCTGCCTGGAAGGCCCTATCCCCCTCTCTTCCAAATAGGCCATAAGTTACCATTTTCGCCTGGTTTCTGGCCTCAGGAAAGCCTAAGGAACGGGGCTTTGGTGCTTGTGTGGAAACACAGAGAAGGAGCTCAATGTAGCATAAAAGCAGAGCCCGCTTTCGTAGCCGGCAGAGGAGCTGCCAAGTGTGAAGGCAAAAAGGGGCGATGCAGGATATACTGGGAAGGAAACAAGGCCCGAGAGCCTAATCCAGAGAGGGTCAGACTTTCCTGAGGCCAGGAAGCAGAAGGAAGGAGACAGGAACCATGTGTGGGGCGGGCACCGGGGTCTGGAATGGAACCCCGAGTAGCAGCGTCTCTGTGCACCGGCTGGGGGGCTGCGCTGCATCCCTTCTCACACCAAGCACCAATGCCTCCATCCACAGAGCGTGGCAACAGTTCCGTTTCATAGCAATTCTGAGGATTCCCTGGATAGCATTTGGAAAGGTCCTGGGGGTCACTGGCCTTCGTAAGTCATTAAGAAAGGTTCTCCCCCCAACCACTGTCATCAGATTTTCCTTCTCCAAGGTAGGGAGTCCTACAGGAAACAAACCATCAGGAAATGTTGTTTCAGGAAGTCCTAGCCTGGGCCAGGTCAAAATAAGGATGTTGGCAAGACCAAGTCAGCCTGTCCCAGGTGGGAATCCTGATGGAATAGGGGTAAACAGGCCTAGGACAGTGGAGGCCTGGAGGGGGAGACCATCTGTGGTGACGGTTCTCAAGAAGGCTGCAGAGCTGCATGGGAAACCATCCACCCTTGAGTCCTCCAACTGACAGGGCCCTGACAATGATGATGATGATAAACACTAAGGGCTAATGATAATTATTATCAAATTACAACAGTTCACATTTATGTAGTGTCCACTAGGTACCATCCTAAGCTCTTCCTATATTCTTCCTGTATTCATGTATTTCATCCTCATAAACCCTGAAGACAGGCAGATATGCCCATTTTTCAGGAGAGAAAATGGAGGCACAAGTGGTAAAGTAATTTGCCCAGGGTCACACAGGTTTACGGAAGCTGGGATTTGAACCCAGGCAGTCTGACTCCAGAGCCTGGAGGATTTCGTTGCTGATTCTGCTGCCCGTGACATAGATTAAGGGCAAAGCATGGCTGAAAGCCTGCCGCGCGAGGTGTCGGCGTGCTGGCCTGTACACTCCTAAGCCAATGACCTCAAGGTAAGAACTACCATATCATCCGTTAACGTTCTTTCATAATGGAACCATCTGTTATAATTTTAGCTGCTCCAGCTCTAGGGTTTCGACTACTCTAAGCACCTCCTGTAAGTGGGATCATACAATTTGTCTTTTTGTGTCTGCCTTATTTCACTCAGCGTGACGTTCTCGAGAGTCACCTATTAGAGCATGTGTTACAATTTCCTTCCTTTTCAACGCTGAATACTATTCTGTTGAACGGCTAGACCACATTTTGCTTCTCCATCTACCTACTGACGGACACAGGGGTTGCTTCTACCTCAGAATAGTTCTCATAGAATAACAGTGCCATGAACATGATGTACAAAAGCCTCTTTGAGAAAAGGGTCCCCTGGTTAATGAAGAAAAGCTCCATGGGGCGTCTGGGTGGCTCAGTGGGTTAAGCGGCTGCCTTCCACTTGGGTCATGATTCCAGGGTCCTGGGAATGAGCCCCACATTGGGCTCCCTGCTCCAGGGGATGCCATGAGGATAACTGACAAGAAATGCAAATATACTCCCCAAAGAACTCCGCTCACGTCCACAGGAGAGTAGAGATCTGAGGGCTTCCTAGGAAAGAGAGTGCAGACAAGGGCTTCTTGCATTTCAAGAACATTCAAAAAACCAGAAAATGATGACAAACAGGTAATACGCATAGAAGAATGCGAAATATTTGCCAGAATTAACAGTAAAATATGATACTTAAAACATCAAGAATGAAAGGCATTCTGAGCTGAGTAAACATCTTCTCAACATCGGAGAAAAGGTTCCAAGGTGCCTGCGGTGGGTGGGGGGATGTCTGTTTAGGGTGACAAGTGTGAACTTTGCTCAGGCACCAGGAAAACACATCTGGGAGGGGTGCTCCTTTTCTAATGATACCAGCGGAGATTGAGAACACGGCTCTGCCATGACATAGAGAGGACGACCGTTCAGCCTATAAAATAGAGAATTCCTACAAAGCAGTAGCAGCTCAGTCTGGGCCAAGTATGTCCAAGGACAAAACTGCTATTTCCGAGAGTGTTTACGTAGCTGAATATCCAGCATATCACAGAAAAATAGCATTTCCTAAAACACAAGCATCCAATGACAAGGCCTAGAAGCAAGGGCCCGCCCAGCAGCCATGAGCATTCCTGGCGCCTACACTGTCAGAAGGACTCAGGCTTCCACCGGCCCTTGATGAGTAAATTGCTCCACCTGTGATAACTATCACAGACGGAAAGAGAACAAATATACTTCGGTTCACAATGGCATCCAACCTACCACCACTAACTGATCACTGTTAAGGCGTACAGAGAACAAATTCATTATTTTGGAAATTGGTAAATAAAGTAAAAGACACCAAGCAGGGGCACTTGGGTGGCTCAGGCAGTTAAGCGTCCAACACTTGGTTTCCACTTGGGTTGTGATCTCGGGGTTGTGAGATCATGCCCCGCGTCAGGCTCCATGCTCAGCACACAGTCTGCTTAAGACTGTCTCTCCCTCTCCCTCTGCCCCTTCCTGCTGCTTGCACACACCCTCTCTCAAATAAATAAATCTAAAAAAAAAAAAAAAAAAAGAAAGAAAGAAATCAGGCATTTAACTTGACTTTCCTTAAAGAATGCTGCCATGCTTCTGGATAACAAAGTAGATGACCAGCAGTTTTTCTTTATGGAACTATTCTATCTAATAAGTGAAGAAGAAAATCTAACATCGCCAAACCACTCATTTGTAGCCCCGTGTGGATCTGGGGATTGGGCGCCAACAGCTCCTAAGATCACACAAAGTGAGAGAAGAAGATGTGACTCTCTGGTAGCTGGAAGACAGTAATACAAGCAGAACCTAGATGGAATCCAGCTCTAGAAGGAAACATCACATCAGAGGAAGTCCAAGGGACAGAGGAACATGTTAAAAGGACACCATGGGGACACACTCAGCAAAATCCAGAGTGGAGAAAACAACTACAGTAAAAATGAGCCCATTCCTTCAAGTGAACATTGTACACATGAGAGGGGGGAGGGGTTAGGGGAGGGAGAGAGAGAATAAACAGGAGGAACTGTGGATTAAAAGGGACTTCAGGGGCACCTGCGTAGCTCAGCCCGTTAAGCGTCTACTTCAGCTCAGGTCATAAACTCAGGGTCCTGGGATCCAACCCTGCATCAGGCTCTCTGCTCAGTGGGAGCCTGCTTCTCCTTCGCCCACTTCTCCTGCTTGTAGTCCCTCTCTCGCTATCTCCTTTTTAAATAAATAAATAAAATCTTTCAAAAAAAATGGGGGCGCCTGGGTGGCTCAGTGGGTTAAAGCCTCTGCCTTCAGCTCGGGTGGTGATCCCAGGGTCCTGGGATTGAGCCCCGCGTCGGGCTCTCTGCTCGTTGTGGAGCCTGCTTCCCTTCCTCTCTCTGTCTGCCTCTCTGCCTACTTGTGATTTCTGTCAAATAAATAAATAAAATCTTAAAAAAAAAAAAAAAAGGACTTCGGAGACATCCCAGGCAGTTACTACATGTGCGACTTTTTTGGATCCCAATTTAAACTGTTAAGAAGTCAAGTGAAAATTTGAATACTGACTATTCGAATACCTGATGATATTAAGAAGTTAATGCTATTTGGGCTGAGCAGGTGACAGTGACACCGTGGCTATGTTAAAAATAAGTAGGCAGGGCTTCCAGCTGTGGCCCAGGGAGAAGCCTGGCAAATCCTCTCCCCATAATGCGATTATAAAGACGTACAAAACCGACCAAAATAACCATTTCCGTACTCTGGAAATGATCAAAGGCTTAAATCCATCCAAGAAGTGTTTATGCTTAAAAAGCTGCTGAATCTGGGGGGGGGGCGGGGAGGACAGCATGAGTCCCTAGGGCGCTTGCTTGGGGCTGTGCTCACCCCGCCCACCGGCTGGAGGGCTCCGAGGTTCTGGCCAGGCAGGGCCCTGAGCAGCAGCAGCTTTGTTTCCGTGGTCAGGCGGCTCACTCCCTACAAAGCTCTGGGCGACGCCTCTGCCCTGCAGCACTGTGGACAGAAGTGACCATCTCTAGGTCGGTGGAGCCGTGAGCACCCATGGTTCCCGCAGGCTGCACTCACGGCCGCCGCCGGAGGGAGTCCATTGGGGCGGTGGGAAGCCGTGCGCATGCGTGTACGTGCCTGCGTGGGGCAGCCAGGAGAGAAGCCCTGCTCCCCCGAAGCTCGCAGGCACGGCGAGGTTGTGCGCATGCCCGGGGAAGACGCCGCAGCGCCAGCGGAAGTAGGAGCCAGGCACACCCGGAAACGGCCTGAACTCCAGACACGCCTGCACGCACGGCCGTGGGCGGAGGATGCGAGCCTCCCTGGCTGGGGGTGTTGGGGCGCAGCTCTGGCCTGTCCTCCACCCAAAATGTGTGAAGCCAGACTGAGAGGGCTGGGAAGAGAAACTAACAGGTCCCACGGTGTCAGCGGGAGAGGGCAAGCCTTCCCTCTCGGCCACGGCCGGAGCAGTCAGACAGAACACGGACGACCCCAGCGACACATCGGTCAGCTCTGACGCTGGCCACCAGCTTGTCCCACCGACCAGCAGAGGGCACTGCCCCCAGGAGGGCACGACGCACAGTCTCCTCAAGCGCGCCTGGGACACGGTCCGGGACAACCAGTGTCAGGCCGTAAAAACAAGTCTCCATGAAGCAAGCGTGATTAAAGCCACACAAGATGCGCTCTAGGCTGCGACAGGAGGGGACATGGGAAATCCCCCAACGGGGGATTCATCAGCACACATCCAAAGAACCCGCAGGCCCAAGAAGGAATCATTAGGGAAGTTAGGAAATGTTTTGAACGGAATGGACGTGAAAACACAACGTATCAAAGTCTATCAAAACCGCTCGAAGGGAAACTTTTTCTAAGAGAAGGGGAGAGAGACAAAGGAGGGGAAGGGGCAGAGGAAGGAGAGAATCTGGAGCAGGCTCCACACCCAGCGTGGAGCCCAGCACGGGGCTGGATCCCACGACCCTGAGATCACAACCTGAGCCCAAACCAGGAGTGCGACGCTTAACGGATTGAGCCACCCAGGTGCCCCATCACCTTTCTGAAAGAAAGCCGAGGGGAAAAGCTTCAGGACTTGGGCGCGACACTAAAAGCGTGATCCCTCAATGAAAAGCCTGAGAAACTGGGCTTGATCAGAATGGAAAGCTTCTGCTTCAGAAGACCCCATTGAGAAGATGGGAAGACAAGCCACACCTGGGAGAAAACGTGCAAGTGGCAGAGCTGATAAAGAACGTATACACGGACTCTAGAAAGTGCTCTTAAAACTCAAGAGTAAGACAGACAACCTGACTAGAAAACAGGCAGAATACCTGAAAAGGTATTTCACCAAAGGTACAGGAGTGATTGATAGGCACAGGCGAACATTCCCAGCGTTTCCGAGTTTGGGAGCCAAGTTAAAACCGCAGCAGGAGGGGCACCTGGGTGGCTCAGTGGGTTAAAGCCTCTGCCTTCGGCTCAGATCATGATCCCAGGGTTCTGGGATCGAGCCCCGCATCGGGCTCTCTGCTCAGTAGGGAGCCTGCTTCCTCCTCTCTCTCTGCCTGCCTCTCCGCCTGCCTCTCTGCCTACTTGTGATCTCTGTCTGTGAAATAAATAAATCAAATCTTAAAAAAAAAACCCAAAAAACAAAAAACCGCAGCAGGATACTACTCCACCCCTACCAGAAGGGTCTTCGTGAAAGAAGCAGGTATTAACGGGTGTGGGTGGAAATGCAGAGAAAAACCCAAATCCCCACACGTTGCTGGTGGGAACCTGAGACCATGTAGACTCTGTGGCAAGCAGTTGGGCACCGTTTCATAAAATGTTAGACAGATTTACCACACAATCCACTATTCCTATGCCTAGGAATTCACCTACGAGAAATGAAAACAAACCACAAAGAGACCTTCAGTGAGTGCTCTCAGGGGCACTCTCCGTAATAACCAGAAACCAGACACCACCCCCGTGGCCGCTGACGGATGAACGGATAAGCATATAATGAGGCATATCCACGAAGTGGAATCCTATCTAGCACTTCAAAAGGAATCGAGAACGGACACATGCATAACAACCCGAATTAATCTAAAAAAACCAGTATTCCAGGTAGAAGATCTCTGTAGTATGTGATTCCATTGATAGGGAATGTCCAGAAAAGGCGATGTATAGAACAGACAGCAGATCAGTGGTTGCCTAAGGCTGAGGTGTGGGAGTAGAGCTTAATCGCTAAGGGGCAGGGAGGGAAGTTTTGGGGCGATGGCAAGGTTTGTGGTGACGGCTGTATGGTGGCATGAATTCACTCAGAATCTGTCAATTACACCCGAATAAAGGTGTTAAAAAATAAAGAGGCCTCATCTTTTCAAGATCTGTTCGGTAATATTAACAGATGAAGGGCTAAGTTCTGGGAACTGCTTCGAAGGGGCTCCTGCGAAGCCAGATGGGCTAAGCGTGGGTACTGTCTGCAGCTGGGTGGTGACCGCACGGGACTCAGTACGCGAATCGGTCTAATTTTGTCTACGTTTGACAGTAAGAAGCAGGACAGTTTAAGCTCTGCTCAGGAGGCTTGCGAGATTTCTTCCTTTAAAGACATGCACGCAGGATTTCCTAACTGTATGGCCAGTGGACTGCGGCTCTCACCTGGGGAGTAACGCATGACGGACAGCTGTTCGTTTCCGTCCGTGTGAACGGTGACCAGGTCTTTTGTTTCTGTATCGAACACAAACCACCTGTTGTGAACACGAGAAAAAGCACGGTAAGTTGTTTGGTGAGAAGATAAAGGAAGACTAGTACACTTGACAGTAACTGTTAAAAACCATTCCTCTCGGGGCTTCATAAATACTCTGTTGGCTTAACAAGAACGCTTATTCTCGGCTTTTCTTTCAGGCAAAGTTCCTTCAGGTAAGCATTTCCTAAAGAAAGAAGCAGCATGCTGGCTTTCCTTTGAAATGATGTGGTTCCACCATGGTGACAGGGACCTCAGGGCTTGAGTTTTGTCACTTGTATCTCAAAGGACAGAAAGCCCTGAGGCTAGGCCCCCGGCCAGAGGAGGCAGCAAACGGGGCCCCTGCATGGGTTTCCTCAGATATCCGGCCCCAGAGCAGCAGGGTGGGTCCCAGGGGCTGGGCTGGGCCAGCCTTGGGGTGTCTGGCCTCCCGAGAGTGATGCTGGCAGCAACAGCCCAGGGAAAGCCTGGGTGGAAAGGGTGGCAGAAGGGCGGCCACGGACCTGGTCTGGGCTCCACGTCCTTGATTATAAAATGAGGATAAGGGCCAAGTCCATCGTGGAGGCACAGTGTTGAAGCAAACCCTAAGGGATACAGATGTGCTTTCTATCTGCCAACAAGGACTCGGTACTCGGTGCATGTACTCTCCCGCCTGTGTGTTCTCGGGTGGTGACAGTCACGAGCCTCCAGTGTTTCCAGGGATGGAAAGGACTGTGGGTGCCCTGTTGTGGCAGCTTCAGACCCAGGGGCCCCCAGACAGGGTACACTCCATGGGCTTGTCCAGCGAGCAGTGCTAGTTTCTCTGTTTCCTAGTCCAGGGGACGGGCTGACCCCCGAAATTTGGATTTGGCTTCTCGACTTGTGTCTTCAACAACCATCTACCTTTAACGTGCTGTTGACCATGAACAGAGGCCAGAACATAAGTGCAGGGGCTGGGGCTGACTGGGCTATGCTCCGGAGTCCTGTGAATGGCCCCATCCAGAGCTAAGGCTGGCGCGAGGACCAGAGATGTGGGAAGCAGACACGGCGGGAAGCACTAGAGTCCACGTGCCCTTTCTCCCACCCAAGGGACCTTGTCTGTGATTCTGGGCATCCTGGTGCGGCCCCCAGGCCCTGTCCTACCGCTCGTAGTCGGCACGTGGCTCTAGTGATCACTGGCTGTCAGCCGCTTATCAGAGCCCATTGAGTCTGAAGCTTCCACTGTCCCCAGGAGAGTTAAAAGGAGGGTGTGGGTGTGTGTGTGTGTGTGTGTATGTGGGTGTCGCACACAAATGCACACGCGGCAAAACATTTTCATGAAGAATTCTGTTGGCTGTGAGGTGCCCCGCTCTTAAGATGCTGTGACTCGTGACTTATAAATGGTTCCTCTTTCCTCATACACACTCCACAGTCATCCCAACAGAGTCTAAATGGTTTGCTTTCTAGAGAGAAAGGATGGGAGGAAATCACTAAAAATATCTGAATTAAACCACAACAAGCATATATGTACCATGACAAACGATATCAAAGTGTAATCAAAATGTACGAAACACTGAGCACCAGAGGCACCAACACACCAGAGAACACCCCCTACGCCACCTCCTCCAATCACCAGGGCCGCGTGTCTAGGCAGGTAATACCGTCACGGTTTATGACGTGACACTACTCAGAGCGGTTGTCTGTCTGGCCCAGAGACACACAGCTGCTGAGTGGTGGAGCTGGGGCCAAGTGCACACCTACTGCCTGGCCTGTTGGAGACTCTTGGTAAATACACGTTGGCAGAATCTGAGCACGAGGCTCGGGATCTGGGCAGTTTCTAGAATTTCGAAAGGGCAGCAAGAAAAGCATTCTTAAACTCTTGGGGCTTGGAAATGCTTTCTCGCCCAATTCCAAAGCTGAGGCTCCTCCCACAGCCTGCAGATCAGGGCTTGGGGAGCTCCACAAATTCCCCAAAACTGTAGGCAAGCATGTCTGTGTGTGTGTGTGTGTGTGTGCGCGTGCACATGTGCGTGTACGTGTATGTCTGTGCATGGGCGGAAAGGTCCAGAGCTTTTGTCAGATACCCCCTCCCCTGCCCTGTCCTGAATGCGAAGGTTGCCGTCTTCCCTGTTAGTTTTGAGTTCTGGCTTAATTCTCGGGCGGTGGCTAGAAGCTGGGTGGGGCAGCCACCCCGCGCCTGACCCCGGGGGACCACAGACCCAAAGCGGAGCCCTGGCGACACGGACTTACCTGCCAGTCAGTGTTCCCACCGCAAGCACAGACCCTGAAGGATGAAAACCAGAAGACTGAGCTGGATCCTAAAACATTGTAAAGGAAGTGTAAATTGATGGCCAGACACAGCACTACCGCAGAAAACACACACGCACGGCTGTTCCAAAGGGGCTTCGTGGCCCCACTGAAACAACAAGGCTCTCTGCGCTCCAAGAGAGGAAAACGTTCTCCTACTCCGGTGAAGGTCACGTGTCCATCACACTAGATATGGGTCCCTTTAGAGGTTTTCCTCTTTCTGTCTGAATTATCTTTTCATGCCTACAGGAATCAGAAGACAGACCAACACATAAATGCTCTTCCTCCCAGTCCTGGCAGCCCCTTGGGTTGATCCCCATGGTGTGCCTGATGGCCGTGGAAACAGGACCGCCCAGCCCGATGCCAGTAGTGACACTGGATCAGCCCCCCGGGGCGCATGCAGCACACTCGGCAGGCCCGGAAGGGTCTCGAGACCAGGAAGCACATTCAGGTTTGGATCCAGTGTCCCTGACTAACGTGTCAGTCACTAACTCTGGCACAAGGTGGGATGGGACCAATGACAGAGGAAGAAGCAAGTTGTCAAGTCACAGGAGAGGGAAAGTTAGAGGAAGTTCGACTGGGAGACTGGGCAGACGCTTCCTGGTGCCAAGACCCTTGGAACTGGAGCTTCTGGTCCAGGAGGGATCAGGCTGGTGAAAGAGGGAGCGGACACCCTGATCAGTATTTTCTGGGATCAGGTGCTACGGGGACGAGAGTGTGATCCAAGAGGTGGAAGCGACCCAGTGTGGGGCGTATTTGAGGAATGACGGGTAGAAAGGGCATCCCAAGCTGGGATTTCCCGGTGGAAGGTGTATGGACGTCACTAATGAAGGTTGTGCCTCCACGGTCAGGGCTGAGATCACGGGGAAGCAAGAGCATGGTGACACTGACTGTTTTCTTTCCATAGAGAGTGTGACGTGCCTGGGGCGCCTGGCTGGCTCAGGTGGTAGAGCGTGTGACTCCTGATCTCCATGTTGAGTTCCAGCCCCACACTGGGTGTAGAGAGGACTTAAAAACAGTAGAATCTTTAAAAATGAGAAGTGTGACATGATTGAGTCTGCTTTAGATAGAAGGTCCCTCGGTGGAGGGGCTTCGAATGGACCCAAGCGAGAGAAGACTGGTGACAGGGAGACCGAGAAAGCAGCACCCGTGGGAATGGAAATAGAGTCGGGCATTGAGACGCGACCGCGTCAACTGAAAAACGAGAGGGCAGGTACTGACTCTGTTCTGGGCAATGCTTTCTTCAGGTGGGAGCTGCAACCTAGCTCAGGGCCGCCCCCAGACACAGAGAGAGCCACCTCCGCTTGGAGCTTTGCTGTGTCATTAATTCTCTCAGGCTCCTTACGCTTCCCCTTTGAGGACACTGAGGCACAGGGAGGGTCTCGTCCAAAGCCACAGGGCAGTGGGTTAAGGAGCGAGCACTTAACCAGAGATCTTTCTGGCACCTGGTTCTGAGCCCCTTCCCCTTCTGTCAGGCTGAGGGGTGACCGGTCAGGGGAGCGGAAGGGGGATGGAGCCTCTGGGATTGCTTTCAGGGGGGCTGTGGCCAAAGAGCAGCAGGGGAGGTCACCCCCCCCGCTGTGTCCCCCCATCTGTTCCTCCAACCCCCAGGCGGACAGGTCCGACACAGGACACCGCTTCCTTCAGCCCATCCTGCTACCTGGGCCGACCCACTCTTCCGTCTGAGGGGTTCGGGTCCTGTCATTTCGGTGTTCCGCTCCATCAGTGGCGGCCAGCTCTAGACCCTCGCTGACCTTCTCGGGGGCAAGGGGCCAGGGGTAAAGGGCTGAAATGCAGATGTGGATGCTGGGGAGTGCCGGGCCCTCGGTGGGGGCTGCGAGGAGGAGTGGGGGCTGCAGAGGGCGGGACACGTCAGCAAGGACACGGGCTACACAGGACGTACGGTGCTTCAGAGTCTGTTCCACACAGGGGAAGACGGGGGTCGGGGAATCAGACTGAGCTGCGTGTACGCGCTGGCTCTGTCACTGGCTGACCTAGCGGCCACAGCCAGCCAGCGGACTTGGCTAAGCCTCGGCTTCCAATCCGGTCACCTGGCGCCCTGGCAGGTGCAGGCTCCAGCTCCTGCATGCCCAGTGCCCGGCGCTCAGCAACTGCCCTGTGGCTGGCTCCACACGGGCAGGACAAGGACGTCCCCGCGCTCCAATACGTAGTCTGCGTTCCTTCTGTGAGGATCACAGTGAAGCCCACTGGAAGTCTAACGCCTGAGGGTCAAACTCCAATTGTAGAGATAAATTACGTCGGATGCATAAATTCTCATTGCAAAGTGCACTGTAGGCGGGGCATGGGCTCACGACAGGCTTCTGAGCACGGAAGGCAGTGAAGGAACTCTGTGCTCAGGGGAAGCCCCAACTCTGCTAGGCTAGCTTGCTGTTGAAAACCTCACCAGCAAACTTCAGGATGACACGGAGGGGACCACTTGAGGCCGTGTTTAAACCAATGCCGGCCAAAGGGGGTGAACTGGGTGACATTTACTTTGGGACAATTTTCTATCTCTCCATTGCATGCAAACACATAAACAAACGTGTTCCAGATGAACTTTCACAAGAGAAACGCCACGTAACGTGCATGTCTACCTCTATGACTTTGTCCCACACGGGCCGGTGACCAACAGCGTCCCAGAGAGTGGCATGCCTGTCATGCCCACAGGTCAGAAACTGAGGTTTGGAGGCGTGGATGGCCAGTCCCCAGAGCTCATCGGTGTGACCCTGCATAGGACCAAGACAGAGGAAACTCTCTGAAACACTCGGGGAGACTCGGGGGCAGGGGCCTGTGGCATCCACATGCTTTCGGCTGCCCTGCCCAGTTTCCCTTCCCACCAGACCTAAGCCAGGACAGTGGCTGAAACTCTGATGCCAAGGAAGGCTTCGCTGCTATAAAACAAAGGGATCATCCCCTGTGTGCAAGGCTCTCTCATGCTCTCTGAGCCTCTGATAGCACAGCCGGTGAAGGCCGTGCTGGGCCGGCTGGGCGGGAGCGCACCTGAGTGATGGGTGTGAAGTCCCCTGACAGAGTGCCCTGGAGAACGAAGTTTCTAGTTGTGCCTATCAGGATCACGTCGCCCTTCCCCTCGGTCACCGTCCGGATCGGGCCAAACTGTTCTGGAATCTGCATTGAGAAGAAAACATTGAAAATGTCCTTAAATATTAGCTCCACCATTCCAAATATGTGTTTATATATCATGATGACAGCCCCTCCCTCCTCCCTCCCACACACACGCACACGTGCACACATACACACGCACACGTGCACACACACACATAACATGGAGAGAGAGCAAGGTCCAGAGCTGGGACCTGTTGAGTGAATGATCAAAACCTCACATTGGACGTTTGAACTCCAAACATGTATATAAGTGTAAAAGAATCAGCAAGAGGGGCGCCTGAGTGGCTCAGTTGGTTAAGCGGCTGCCTTTGGCTCAGGTCATGATCTCAGGGTCCTGGGATCGAATCCCACATCGGACTCCTTGCTCCACAGGGAGCCTGCTTCTCCCTCTGCCTCTACCTGCAACTCTGCCTGCCTATACTCTCTCTATCTCTCTGACAAATAAATAAAATCTTAAAAAAAAAAAAAAGAATCGGCAAGAGTAAGGTCATTAAATAAAAACAATGAAAATGAAGTATCTTTTTCTTGGTTGGAGTAAAAAAATTAGAAACAACACTGGTTAGTTTACTCTTTTCTTCTTATGGCTTTGGATAGCAGTAGCGGGTACAATTTGGAAAGTATAAAACAGAATAATAAGCTGTAAGAAGAGTTCCTGGGGCATCTGGGGGCTCAGTGGGTTAAAGCCTCTGCCTTCAGCTCAGGTCATGATCTCAGGGTCCTGGGATCGAGCCCTGCCCCGCATTAGGCTCTCTGCTCAGCAGGGAGCCTGCTTCACAACCCCCCACCCCCTGCCTGCTTCTCTGCCTATTTATGATCTCTGTCTGTCAAATAAATAAAATCTTAAAAAAAAAAAAAGAGTTCCTAAAATTTACTGTAACTTAAAACGGTAAATTCTTTGGCAACTCCATACAACTTAGTTTTGAAATCCATTGTTCATGTTGGTAAATATATGGAATTACCTAAATTTTAAGGCAAACAATTTCAAAATATGCCTGCCAAGATCAATTTGCTGCATTATGAAATAAACAGAAGTTCTCACACTTTATAAAGGAACAAATGTAGAGACCCGCTGGGGGACTCTGGGCACCCCAGTTTTGGAAGGGAAAGACGCCGGCTGCTCTCTCACATGCTTTCCATCTCCAGCACAGTCTGTCGGCACAGATTTAAGAAAAGGTGAAGATAATCCATGCTAAGGAAGAGGAAGGTATGGATGCTAAAAAAAATGATGAGAATCTTCTAGAGACTGGATGAGGCTTTGAGGCTTCTGTTGCAGTTACAATTTAACACAGGAGCCCATTCAGTGAAATGCTAGTCAAATCTTAGGATAGAGAATGGCATCATGATGAAGATCTCCGTGAACGGGGAGGCGATTTCCAAAGCTCACCCAGAGGCCTTCCTTTATTAACAGCAATAATCAATAGAACCGTATCAATACCGCCAAAGCAGTGGGCCGCGCTGCCCTCTGATAGAACGGGTTACAGGATGTAACATGATGCGTTGTGAGTGTTGTACACACCCACTCAGAGGCTGGAGAAGGTCTATAACGTGTCCACTGGATGCTATGGATAGGGACCCTCAGCCTTCGCACTGATGCCCGCCTTGATGTCTGTCTGCTCCTAGGTCCCCAGGGCCTGGGGGAGGGGTTCCAGTGAGTGTGTACAAGGCAGATTAAACTTCTTTCCTGTGGTTCCTACTGGTGTGCAGGGTAATAAGGTGGTAAAATCGATAGTGAAAGGAGAGAGAGCTTTAGAGAATATGTTGGCACTCAGCCATGAACAAGGTAAATACTCAGTAAATGTTAGTTCCAGGTAGTAATGTCTCCAGAGTCACACCTGGAAATTAAAGTGGAAAAAGATGAAAGATTTTTTTTTATTTTAAAGATTTTATTTATTTGTTTGAGGAGGGGGGAGATGAGCAGGGGAAGGGGCAGAGAGAGAGAGAAACAGACTTCCCACTGAGCACAGACCCTGATATGGGGCTGGATCCCAGGACCTGGAGATCATGACCTGAGCCAAAGGCAGATGCTCAATGGATTGAGCCACTCAGGCACCCCGAGAAGAAAGATTTGAATGAAAAATAAAAGTGTGGATAATATTCCCTTGGAAAGGTGAGACTGCTCTCTTACAAAAATACTCTAAATGTGCAATATATTACAACCTAAAATTTTACAAACCTAATTCCATTTTAGTAGTTATACTTAAACTCCTTCCAATGATTTTAATAAAACGTTTCCTTTTTTTTTTTTTTAAGATTTTATTCATTCATGACAAAGAGAGAGGGAAAGAAGGAACACAAGCACAGAGGAGCTGGAGAGGGAGAAGCAGGCTCCCCGCCGAGCAGGGAGCCTGATATGGGCAGACACTTAACTGACTGAGCCACCCACGTGCCCCAAAATGTTTCCTTTTTAATAAAGTTTTATCTAAACCATTTTTGAAACAGCAAGATGAAGATTTCAAACTAACAAGGAAACTGGTTAGTGTACCAGTTTCGGGAGGTTCAAAATGAATTTTGAAAAAAAAAAAAAAAAAGAATTTCGATAACGCTGCTTGCTTTATCTTACCTCAGTTTTACGAAGTTTCTGATAGTTTCCGTTCCAAGAAATGAGCTTGCGGTCCTTCCCTCCTCCTGACACCAGCGTGCCATCCCGTAACATACAAAGTGCAAAAATGCCCCCCTCGTGGGCCCCTTGAACAGCGTAGCTTATCCGATTCGTACCTAAACACACCAAGAAAACCATCCTCAGGGTGTTATCAAAGAGGTCGCCTCCGTCCATCCCATTTCTCTTTGGTTTTAAAGTGGCATCTTGTTGGTTAGGACATCTCTGCAGGGTGCATCTACAAGAGACGCGATTTCTAGAAGCTTGTGCAGCAGCAGACAAGCACGCTCTGCGCTACTTCACGGTCCAGGAGGACACACTCATGGAAAGCTGAGGACGGAGGGAGCGTGGCGAGACTGCGCGTGGTGAAGAATGGGGGCTTGGGTTCACATCCTCGACAAGTGGCTTCACTGTCCTACACCTCAGTTTCCCCTTTGTGTCCTGCTTATCCTGTAGGAGCCTGCTAAGGGTGACACGGGGTGACACGGGAAGCACCTGCCCCCACAGTAGTGGGGACACTAGGGAAGTCACCACATTACCCTGAAGTCACATCCAGGGGTCTGTTTCTGCCTTCACCCCCAACCCAAACTCTAAGCCCTCTGAGGACAGGGATGGTATGGTTTCCCTTTCCTCCTGCTGCAAATGCTCATTGAACTTGACCAGATGGATGTTTTCTGATTAACGAATCCGCCTTACGCGGCTGTGGGCTCCCTGACACCACGGCCTTGCGATCATCGGCGTGCTCGGTGGCTAATGTGCTGTCTCGCACACAATTAGTTCTCAGTCACTATCTGCCAGAAGCCACGGGAACCAGGGAAGTTATTTAAGTGTCATATAGCTAAATAGTCATTGACACCTTTACCATTGTAATTGGTTAAGAGAACTCTTATTAAAGCTATTCCATCAAAATATTTTGGGCTTAAAGAGCCTTCTGCAGTGATAGAAAGTGCGCAATTCTTGGCTATTCTTGTTTTCCTCTGTTCTAGTTTTAAGATTTCAGGTTACACACGCACCCATATTCATATGCACTTATTAAACTTGGGGTTTAGCTATAATTCTGTTAACTCTGTTCACAGACAGCTCTTAGAGAAGTTGCGTTTAGCCTCGTATAATATTCGTCCCCCAACTTTTGCTCTGGGGACAAGTCTGTGTTACCTTTTCCCCACACCAAGATGTTGCCGCTTGAGTCTCCAGTGATGGTGTCACCGTTTTCGGAAAAAGTCACGCAGAGGACAAACTTTGGCTTTTCTTGCTTCTGCGGGATGTTGTAAATATATACACGTATTTATTTAGTCAAGACGCCCTCTAATTTGTATTCCTCTAACCTAGAGGCACGGTGCTCCTAAGCCGCATGTGCCTTTCATTTTCATCTACCGCTATATAACGTATGCCACGAGACTATCTGCTTTAAAACAGTGAAATTTCTGGCAATTTAAAAGTTGCAGACAGTTGGGGCAGAGGAGGGTGTCATGGGACGGGCTGTGTTGTCATGACTAGAGCCTCAGAACAGGGCCCCGGCACTGGAACAAAGCAGTCCTCTAACTGGGCCCCTGCCGGGAAGGAGGCGCTGTCCCTGGTACTCACAAGCCCCAGGACCTTCTTGGTTGTTCTTTGCAAGGACCATGCATAGTGGGGGGGCAGCACCCGGCCCCCAGAGCGACTGTCCCTGGGCTTCTCCCCTTGTTGGTTCATCTTTCCTTCCTGGCATCACCAAGGATACCCACAGAGACCCAAGGGGCCCTCAGTTCTGTGAGGCGTCCCCAGGAATAGTCTTCATCGCTATACCCCCAGATAGACGTCCTGATTTGCCAATCACAGCAAATTCTGGAGACTGCGGTACGCCTCACTGCTCCCAGAGAAGCCCTGACCACATGCACCGCTCAGTGAAGATTCAAACAAATGGAATGTAACATTACCTCAAATAATCCTTGCTTCTTAATAAGGGAGTTTCCTTCTAATGTCCAAAAGTAGAGATGTGATTTTCCGCAGGTAACTATTATGTTAGTGTCCGTGGGGTGGAAATCCGCAGCAAACACGGCTTCGTTAGAACACTTTGAGCAAAACAGGAGAATCAAATGTCTCAAATCTCTGGACACGTCAGAAAATAAGTGACAGCTGAGCCGCAGATAGCTTGTCCGGGCTGAGCCCTAAAGCCTTTTGATTTTTCTCCCCACAGAGCTCACCTTCCATAAACACTCAGCTTATGTTTGCTGGGTGTCATAAGTTCTCCTTGTCTGTCTCCCCCGCTGGGCCGTAGCCCCAAGGACAGGGACCTCAGCTCCTCTCTCGCTACAGGGGAGGGGGTAGCCCAGCAGGAGCGGGCACGAAGCACGCCTTTGCTGAAGGGCCGGGTGGAAACTTAAGAACCCAAGAATTTGCTCTCATCTCCCGTCATGGATTCCCAGCTGAGGCTGAAAACAGAATTGCCTGACGTGTGTTACAACGTAGTGTCAAGCCTCAGCCCCACCTGGGGATGGGAATTTTGGGAGGGACCCAGGAGTCTGGATTTTATCCAGCTCCATCACTCCTGGCTGACTCTGGCTGTCCCGTTTGCTCTGGGATTCCCTCCTGGTAATTCCCAGGACTCTGCCGGTGGTTTGGTGACCAGGCTGGGGCTCAGGGCTGGGGATCTGGCTCTTGGGAGTCACTGCACCGCCCCTGACCTGTTGACTGGGTTCGCAGCACCTGCACTTCGGCTGCGTGAATCTGACCCTGACTGCTCCTTCTGCTCGAAATTCAGTCACAAGCCTTAAACCTAGGTGATAATTTGCCTCTGACCACTTCCAACCCAGCAACCTAGCAAGAACTTAAATACTCGACCAGAATGTTAGTAAGCTGGTATTAGGAAACATGCCAGATTAGAATACGGACCCAGCATCCCAGACACTCGAGGGAGAAAGATAAGGCAATGGATGGTGGTCCTGATGGCCGGGAAGTAAAGTGGTCTAAAGCTAACGGAGGACAGGATGGGGACTCTGAAGTCAGGCCTGTTAACGACTGGGATCCATTCATGATTTCCACAGGAGGAAAATACAAGAGAGCGTAAGGAAAGCTGGGGGACCTATCGCACAAGATGGACCGGAGGTGGTAAAGAGAAGCCTAGCGCACCCCCGTCGGAAGGGCCCCACGGGGAGGGGCTGGGGTCCCGCAGGGGCGCTCGCCTTCACAGAGGCCACTCAGCTTTGGCCAAGACCTGTGTTGGCCACGCTGGCCTCTCCCTCAGCCCTCGCTGCTCCTGACCTGTCCCCACTCTCCTGTCCCCGCCCTGTGGCACACGGGGGTCACCTCCTGTACCACCACACCTGCAGCGCCCCCCGCGACAGCACGAGCACACATTTTTGGAATAAAATGAGGCAGCAGCGAACAGGGAACATGGGAGTGGCTCTGAAGGGGAGGGGCTGTGACGTGAGGAAGAAGGAAACCTTACGGGTGTCATGAAGGGGGAGGAGACCCTGCCAGGACTTGGGACCGCACCCTGGGAGGGGAGAGGGGCGGGCTTGGGATTCCTGGGGGCTGGTGTCAGGTCCGAGGGCCGGCCCGGGGATGGGGAGCCTGTGGCCCACCGAGAAGTGGGACCCGGGCCTGGGAGCCATCGGGAGCAGAAGGCTCCACTCGGGGATTACAGTGGAGCCTGGCGTGGGGCTTGGAGGGAGACCTTCACGTCGGCCAGCCGCTCCTCCTTCTGCCAGTCCCACACGGACAGCACGTGGTCATTGGAGTCGTCCACGGTGCACAGACTGCTCCCTCCGTTCTGGAAAACAAAAGGTGTTCCCAGGAAGGCTACATTTGAGAATACAACACGTTACAAGTGACTCACACTGAATCACACTGAACATTAATTTTCCTTTTAATAGCGTGCATTTGGGCTAAAGAATACGTATGCACCACTGTGAGACCTGCTTTCCGGCCACTGTGGGACGGCGGGTGAACGTGGGCGAGGGAAGGACGTGAGCAGCGGAGAGCGGCCCGGGACGGTCCTGCCCGGTTGGTTCTATCAGGAAAAGTCCAAAGGGGCTGCAGGGCCCCCTCCTGGAGGAGCCAGTGTCCACTGCACACACAGCACACGTCTGTGACTAATGGGCAGGGTGACCAGGAGGCTGTGTGGGAGCAAAGGCCCTGGGGCCGCAGCACGTGCTGTTCTGATGGGAACACGTGCCCGCGTGAGTGACTGTTTTTCTGGAACAGTTTTTTCCAGGGTGGATCTGTTGAATGGGCACATCCTGAGGAAGATCTGGAGGCCATGAGGCCCCTTTGACTCCTGCTAACGGACAGGCAGCTGGCGTGGGGACGGCAGAGACACTAGGGCCGCCTGTCAAGGAGCAGGTGGAATTCAAGGTCAGCGTGGGCAAAACCGCCCCGAGGAACACGAAGGCAGCGCTGTGGGGCCTCTTCCCGTGAGGTGTGTGACCCCGAGGGGACACGGGTGACCTTTGAAGAGGGGACCTGAGGTGCAGGATGGTGTCGGCCTGCAAACCGACACACACACCCGTCAGCCAGCGAGTGTGTCAACTTCCTCCCTCTTCAACCTCGAGCGGCTGCTCTCCTCCCCCGGACAAGGGTGCCCGTGCCCACGGGGCTCACACTTACAGATTTTGAGAACGCGATACAGGTGACGGCTCGGTCGAAAAACCCGACTCCGATGACGTGCAGCGTGTTCAGCGTCACCGAGTCCCAGATGCGCACGTGTGGGGGCAGTTGCTGTTCAGAAGGAAATGCGGGGAGAGAGTCGCTGGCTGCGCGGGGCGTGCACATCTGTCTTCACCTTGAAGCTACAAGACTACCTCAGTTCTGTCAAAATGGAAGGTCTTTTCCTGCATTTGAAGTCTCTGCCTTTGAGCATCAACGAAACGTGGCCGGTGGCTGCCGAACATCGTGGCCCCTGAGACCAGCTGAACGTCGGGGCAGGGCCAGCGGGTTTTATGTTCTGAACAGCCCATTCTTCCTGACTGTACCGCAGGAACAGATGCTCCCCCTTGGGCACCCAGATGAGCCCCAATTTTAAAAAACGAAGAATGACAAGGAAAGCGGGATCTCACCCAAGGGCTATTCCTGTGAGGTCTCTGTTATCATTAAGTGTAAATACACCTAAATCCAGCAAGTCGGTCCCCAACAATTAGTACTGAGAGTTTAACACTCTTGGGCCTCGAAGGAGCAAAATGGGCAATCATTATGCACAGGTGAAATCGAGAATCATTACCGCTAGTTCAGAGCCCTCTCAGTTGTGTTCCAAGGTGAATGGTCCCAATTTTTCTCTCTCTCAAGAGAATGAAGTGTCCTAGAGCCATCGGCAGGCAGATTGGGAGAAGGAGTAGCATTACATCAGGTGGACAGAGTGGGGTGACCCCTGGCCTGGACTTGCTCTGTGATGGTCAGATGACCTCTGTGTCTCTGTGCGCCTGAACTGAAGGCCTGGCTGGGAGAGCCATTCCGTCTTCCCCGGCTCGAAATTCTGATTGGATTTCAATGCCAGAGACGGAAATACCATTTCAATCCACTAGAGGGAGGAATACAAGGTTTGCTACTAATTTCAGACCTGAAAGCCACTTAACATTAAAAAAATAAAAAGAGGGCGCCTGGGTGGCTCAGTGGGTTAAAGCCTCTGCCTTCGGCTCAGGTCATGATCCCAGGGTCCTGGGATTGAGCCCTGCATCGGGCTCTCTGCTCAGGGGGGAGCCTGTTTCCTCCTCTCTCTGCCTGCCTCTCTGCCTACTTGTGATCTCTGTCAAATAAATAAATAAAACCTTAAAAAAAAAAAAGATGAAGACCCTATTCCATTTATGTGTATGTACATCATTATAAAGTGATTTCCATCGTTCCTGTTATTTCTTTTTAAGTACAGAATTTTAATGGGAAAGAACACAAAGTTAATATTTAAAATTTGATGTTATTAAAGTGTTTTCTAAAAAATGGCAGCATTCATGTTTTAGGAAGAAAACATGCTGCTAAAAATGGACATGTGTGGGGCGCCTGGGTGGCTCAGTGGGTTAAAGCCTCTGCCTTTGGCTCAGGTCATGATCCCAGGGTTCTGGGATCGAGCCCTGCATCGGGCTCTCTGCTCAGGAAGCGGGGAGCCTGCTTCCTCCTCTCTCTCTCTGCCTGCCTCTCTGCCTACTTGTGATCTCTGTCTGTCAAATAAATAAATTAAATTAAATTAAATTTTTAAAAAATGGACATGCTCCGTGTAATGAGGTTCGTTTCATGTACGGTACAAGAATAAGCTGTGCAAAGTAGATAGCAAAGAAACTACCAGGAGTTTTGGGTAAGACATGGCAAGACCACAGACTGTGGTCAAGAACCAAGTGGAAGGCAGTTTCACGTTATTTTTGGTTTGTTAGAATCCACTAGTTCCTACTCTGATTCCTTACAATTCAAGTTAAAGTCTTGCCAAGGTGCTTACAAAATTGTGCCCAAATTCTCCTGCAGCCTTTGAGGGACCCAGGGTGACACCAGGAGTACAGGCTACTCAGGCTGAGGGTCTGAAGTTTGCCTGGGGCGCCTGGGGGGCTCCGTCGGTTAAGCCTCTGCCTTCAGCTCAAGTCATGATCCCAGGATCCAGGATCGAGCCCCACGTCGGGCTCTCTGCTCAGCGGGGAGCCTGCTTCTCCCTCTGTCCCTGCCCCTGCTCGTGTTCTCTCTCTCAAAGAAATGAAAAAATAAAAAATAAAAAAAATTTTTGCAACAAAAAATTTGAATCAGATACTTTATATCTAGGTGGACTTATTCATCAGTGAAATGCTTCCAGAAGAGGATATCCAGTTTACCGTTCATTATAGAAATGTGGAAAGATAACGCAACTCACCTTTCCATCCTTAGATGTGCCTGCAACTTGTCCCGTTGCGATGGTGATCCTGTCAGGGTGAACTGCTAGGCTGAAAAAAAGAAAAAGTATTTATAGAACAGCCACTCTTTAAAGATAAGCCTTACTTTTCTCTTGGCCAAATATGATCTGTCAAAAATTTAAATATGAGACCGACATGGTGCCTAACTTCTCACGGACTCAGGACAAGCTCCCTGAGCACACCAACACCCTTGGCCAATTAGTGCCTGTTTCATTCTACCCTTTCTCGAGAATTTCCAAACTCAAGGAGAAAGCATCCTTTGCTTGGGAAATACCAAGTCTCCTACGACCACCTTTATCAAGTATGTTAAGCAGCAGAAACATCATCTTTTTCCAACAGGATTTTTATGCTTGACCAGGGCTATAGGACGGATAGAAAGAGGGAAAGTTGCCCATTCAACCACCCGTCCTTCCGAGATACATAAAAGCCCTATCAAAAGCTATAGGTGAATTATGAGTGAATAAAAAGCGAATGAATTATAGCAAACCCAGGCATAAGCGTGAACATTTTTATTAAAAAATAAGAACTCCAGTCAGAAGCCATTAGCATCTCTGCTAAGGAGGCCTCCAAACAGGGGTATGTGGGAAGTTTGGGTGACGCAGTTGGTTGCGATGACGTGTTACATGGATAGAAACGAAACTAGTCTCTGGTGTCCTAGACAGCCAGCTAACTAGCCGACCTCCAGCTATGACAGCGCGACCCTAAGGGAGCGCTCTTCTCGGATGGTCTCTTTACTTCTATCTCAGCCCCGGCGTCTCTGCTGTGGCGCCTGCTGCACGGGGTAAGGACCCACCACTTCACGTCGTCGTTGTGGCCGGTGTAGTGTCTCTGCAGCTGCTCCTCCACGTTGTACAGCACCACCACGGAGGCGATGAAGTACACCGTCTCCCCCGTCGGGAGCAGGTACAGGTTGTTTCGACAGTCGCGGCCCCGGTACCCATAGCTTGGTATGTGTCAAGAGAAACTCGATTTCCTTTGAGAGCTGACAACGTGTCAGCTATATTCACCGGGGACGGACAACACAATTCCGTAAGACCCTTCCCATCTATTTCTCTTGGTTCAGTAACATGAAATCGTAAAAACTCGGTGCCAGATACATGGGACTCTCAACGGGCAGGCGTAGGGTTGGGAAACTGTCCTTGAATTGAGGTGAATAGGTCTTTCTAAAAGATGGGGCTTTGTTTGTAGAAATTATGTTCATCTTGAAAGCTGAATTTTTCAGCTGGATCAAAAATGTCACTTGTTATCTTATTTACTAAAGGTCCCTGGAGGGGCTATTGGTGAAGTCGCCAGAAAGTGAACTATTTTGAACTGAGCCAATCAATCCTAGACCGTGGTAGCCACAGCCAGGGCCAGAATTCTTTGTTGAACTGTTTGGATTATCTGCGGATGCCTGGCTTCTTCACAACTAGTCTGCCTTTAAATGTTGCCGAGGTCGGACTGTGGGGCTCTCAGTTTTGGGGTTGTGAGTTCAAGCCCCACGTTGGGTGTAGAGATTACTTAAAAATAAAATCAGTTAAAAAACTCAATTTTGGGGCACCTGAGTGGCTCAGTGGGTTAAAGCCTCTGCCTTCGCTCAGGTCATGATCCCGGGGTCCTGGGATCAAGCCCCGCATCGGGCTCTCTGCTCAGCAGGGAGCCTGCCTCCACCTCTCTCTCTGCCTGCCTCTCTGCCTACTTGTGATCTCTGTCTGTCAAGTAAATAAATAAAATCTTTAAAAAAAAAAATCAATTTTGCCAAGCTGGTTTCCTGAAAGGCCTGCCCCCGTAACCAGTTTGACTCTTGAATACTTGATAAAAAAAGTCAGAACACAGAGGTTTTTTGGGGAACAGTCCTTCTGAGCTCACAGGGCTTGGTAGTTGAGACAACACAGTCACCCCGCATTCTCAGATCTGTTTTGTTCCAACCAAGCTGCAAATACCACAGCCCGTTGTAGGGATTCGATTCATTCGCTAGCTGGGTTTCTAGAACCAGAGCGAGGCCTCTGGTGAAGCCGCGGCGTCGTGGTGATGTCAGTCCCCAGGCTGGCCGAGGGAGGGATGGGATAGGCCTTGGGAGATGGTGGCCTGCTGGCCCTGCCTTCTCTCCTGTCCGTAAGGAGAGAGAATCAAGTATTTAAAAGTAAATTTTAAGATACTGGTAACTGACTTGTATACCTTAGTTATTGAGTCAAACTTGCTTGTTATTGTCATCAAGGAGCTAAATCTTTTCAATTTTTTTTCTTATGTTATAAAAGTACTTGTAAAAGGTGCAAACAACACTCCCACATATGTATGTAAAGGGTAAAAAACCTCACTCCACCTTGCCACAACCATCCCTACCTCCTTGGAGATAACGACCTCTGTGAAGATTTTGGTGTGCACACTTTCTAACCCCGAAAACTATTTTGGGAGCAAAACATCACTTGAACTTAGATGTGAAGAATGAATCTAACCAAAGTCCCATTTATCTGAAGTAAATTCCACTGTTTTACAACTTGAAAATATGAATAGAGAGTCGGCTGAAAAAAATGTGTTTTGAATGGTGCTTTCCAGCCATGATGGAACGGAACATGTAAACCAGTATCGACTTAAAGAATGGAATCACTGTGATTTCACGCGTCAAAAGAGATGTCCATAAATGCTTATGAGACCTGAGTTTGAAAATGTAAAAAATATGCCCCCAAAGAATATGATACCGTCATTTCAAATAGCAATTTTTCCAACTGAAATGACACCACCATCTATTTAAACCAACTTCCTAGAATTTATATCTGGGGCTTGGCGTCCAACTGGTACTCAACAAAAATTTGTATGAGGGCGAAGAAAGGCTTTTTGATCTTTGTCTTAAAATCTGCATGGACTGGAGGGTTTGCTCTGAAGTTAAACGAATAAAGTAAAATAAAATAAAGTAGAATTAAATAAGGAAAAATAGAGCAAAAAATTTAAAAAAACCGCGACACTTCATTCACCCTTTGTCATAGGCTCTAGTTCTTTGTGTTTTAGGCTTTTTCCCCTCGGAGCTCATTCATGTTTCCAAATCTCATAGGATGAAGGCTCCAGCAGCTTTATCTCAAGGTTAGTCCTAGGGCAGACTCGGATTTCTGTGGCTTAGATTTTGGGCAGGGGAGGACTTTTCTTTCTCTTAAAGCAGCATTCTAGCTATGCTAATGTCAACTTTCTTTTCGCCCCGCACTGGACCCCCTACATTCAGTACCGGGGGTGTTCCTTGTTATTCCTTCAATTAGTCTCCCAAGGCTGGCCAAGCCCCCCACTGGTTTGAGGGGGAATGTCTGTCCTTCTCTCCAAGGTGTCTATCACTCTTTGTCTGGGTGTAAGGACTTCCTGCCACGCAGTGTAGTTCAATCTCTGATAGTCTCATTTTCCTAAGTGTATAAGTCTGGTGTCCTCCTGCATGTCCTGTGTGTCCAGGTAAGCAGGCAGAGCTCTGGCTTTTCCGCCTGCCCTGCAGAGCTGGCCGAGCCTATGACACCTACTATTAAAAACGATCCGTTCTTTCAATTTCATTAGAATCCTAAACTCTGCCCATTTATGATTATTATCAGTAAGACTGCTTTCCTATTAGTTTTCAACTACATTTATTCTGCTGGAAAGATTAAGATTCAGGCCAGAAAGTGATGCATTTTCTTATGACTCTCTAAAAAAACAAAACAAAACAAAACAAAAACAAAAACAAACAAACCCCATCTAGCATTTAACTATTTTCTCTTTGGGAAAGTAAGGTGGACGTATTTGAGCCAGGACTACAACCTTTCCTTCGGGACTTGTAAGAGAGTGTCCCCCACAATCAGGAGCCCTCCCAGAGCCCCTCTTCTGCTCGAACACCAGACTGGGTGTTCACATATAGGCCTTTTTGTTAAATCAATTTTTTAAAAAGTGAGAATAGAATACTTTGGTTTTCTTAAAACTGAAGAGAACGTGGGGCACGCGGGTGGCTCAGTCAGTTAAGCCTCCGACTCTCTGATTTTAGCTCAGGTCATGATCTCAGGGTTGTGAGATCGAGCCCCACACTGGGGTCCGTGCTCAGTGCGGAGGCAGCTTGGGATTCTCTCTCTTTTCCTCTGCCCTTCCCCCCGCCCAAGTAAATAAATACATGCTTAAGAGAACTTAAGTTACATCACTTAATTTTAAGTTAAATTTTAAGCTCTGGGCATGAATCAACTTAAACCTCGTGCCAGGTCCGGTCAGTAAATAAAGGATACACCCATTCCAGCTTCAGTCTCTTGGTCGGTAGCTCTACTTTTGCTTCCAAATTATAGGAGTCCACTTGGTCTTTGGGCATGTACATGGTAACGGGGCGTCCCCGAAGAAACATTTTTACGTATCCTTCTTCTACAAAAAGAACATAGAGATCGTAAGACACCTCAGTGCCCAGTGCCTCTGAAAACAAATGTTATCTTTTCTTTAGCCTTTTAATGTAAAAGCAAAAACTTTACCCTTCGTGTAATTTCTAATTAATGTGGAACCAAAACACAACGCTGAAGAGTTTAAAACAAAAGTTTTTGCCCTGTTTATGTTTGACAGGCTGCCTAAGTACACGAAATACATGAGAAACCATAAAAGGTAGGAAAAACTAGATTCCATTATTTTTCCACATGAGACTTGGTAGCTCACATTTTCTTTATCATCAGGAGGGGGGAAAATGCCACCTCAAAAAATTACAACACAAGAAATCTACTAAAATTTTTTATTGATTTCAATGTATGTACAATTTTAGTATCAAAATTCATAAGATTTCCTTAAATTTTAAATTGGTTTGGTATAGTGCAATGTAATGAAATATAGTGCAATGTAATGTATCTTTATGTGTCTTTTACAGTGGACAGCCTTTTCGAGTGTAAAGAACACAAAATCGGCAGAAGTACATGCTAGGGTACACGCAAGAAGGAAAATGCTCAAGGAAAAACTAGAAAGAAAATAAAAGAACAAAAGACCCATTGGAGAGAGGCATCGTGAAATAGAACCTTCTAGAACAAACATTTTTATAATAACATCACTTGTGGCGTTTCAAGAAATAACGGGGCAAGAGGAACACCCAGAGGCACATCAGCATGGGGCAAGTGCGGGTTTACAAAGAAATCAGCTGGCGTTTTCTGCTGGCACCCGGGAGATGGTGAGACCAGAGAGAATGTCTGTGAGCTCCTGGTGAATTCTGTTAAAACTCACAGCAGACCAAATGCCCGGGCCCCTGTGGCAGTTAAATCGGGGAGTTGGAACCGGTGTGGCAGCACAGAACTCAACAGAGAAACACCCGTGGAGAGGAAACAGGTGAGGTCACGGAGGGGTTACACCGCCAGAAGCACGGCATTTACAGGTTAGTTTTGTAAGTCTTGTCCCCAAGGAGCTTCAAACAATGCCACATGCAATAGGGCCTGCAGGTTAAGGGGCCGTCCCGGTTGCATGTTCCCTGTGTGCGTGCACTTCTGGGCTCACATGCACGCGTGGGATGCTCGCTCACTCTGCACAGACAGTCTGACTTGTGACTAAGAATCCCACGTGCTCATCCTGCAGATGCCACGCCAGCCGCTCAGGTCCGTGGACCTTCCTATGAGGACACTGCCGCCAGGCTGTCCTCCCCAGATCCCCTGGGGCCGGCCTTTCCCAGGTCTGGCACCCCAGGCTCTCTTACTGCTCCCCCGGGGCATTTTACATTCTGCTGCCAAACCATCAAGGCCCAGAGTGGATTTCAGCAAGTCCTTCCTCCATGCAAAGTCCTTCGCCCACTGTGTCACCTGCTGGCCTCTAGCGCCCTGCCTGCCCTCTCGTGTGATCTCTCTGGCCGCAGCGCCGGCCCGTATCCTCCTGTCTGGCCAGATGTGTCTCTTGCACTCTGCTCTGGGCCTCTGCCCTTGCCGAAACCTCTTCCCTTCCTTAATCCCTCACCCGAGTCTGAGCTCATCAGGCTGTGTGGCTGCCACACCTGCAGGACCCAGGAGCCCCCAGTGGACGACAGGAGGGAAAAGAAAGCAGGGACCTGTGAGCTCGGAGCTAAAAGACACGCGGTCACATCCACTCTCCTTGTACGAGAGGAGGCAGAGCGCTGGATGGGTAATAAAGAGGCTGTTGTGCTATCTCTGCAGCTCGGCGGAACCCTCCGCAGCTGCCACCATCCGTGCGCGTGGGATACTGGGTCTGTTACAGCTGGGCACTGGCGAAGTCATCACAACGCCTGCTTAGCACGATTATAGTCACTGACGGGGGGAAAAAGCCGCGGGGTTTTGCCTTGGCACTGTTTTGCGCTGGTAGTTCAGACGTTCTACATCTAAAGTCAAAATGCAGGGGTGCCTGGGAGGCACAGTCGGTTGAGCGTCCGACTCCTGGTTTCCGCTTAGGTCGTGATCTCAGGGTCGTGGGATTGAGCCCTGCATTGGGCTCTGTGCTCAGCATGAGATCCTCTCCCTCTACCCCTCTCTCCCCAGATAAATAAATCTTAAAAAAAAAAAAATTCAAATCAAAATGCAGCAAGGGAAAGCAAAAGTATTTTCTAGGCATGTTAGGACAATAGCTCACAGCGGCCAACCAGAAGGCGCGGAGGGGAAGGCCAGCAGTGGTACAAGACACCAGGTCAAGCAGTGGGGCATTGAGCACTGCCCTATAGCTCTCTTAAGTTTTGTCTGGCATTTTCAAAGTGCCTGCAACCAGCCAATAATCAAGCCAGATCAAATGTATAAGCTACTTATTAAAACCCATCCAAGTCAATGCACGGGGATGCTTTTAACTGAAAATAAGTTGGAGTGGCTCATGTGCCCAAAACGTTTTCATACCAGGAGAATATCTGCTTGCCTGTATGAAAGAAGTTTCTGCAGCCTGGGTAGCAGCTTTGCTCAGAGAGCTATGAGGTTTCAGAAATGCCGCCTACCTTTGCAGTGTGTCACCCGGCGTTTCCCTTGTGATTTCGGAGACAGGGACAGAAGCGCTAGATAAAGAGATGGCAAGAACTGCGAGAGGGACTGGCCCGCCCGCTCGCTGGGGAGCAGCCTCGCTGGGGAGCAGCTGGCTCTCAGTCGGAGCCGCTGCCCCACCCCCGGCAGGAGAGCCTGCCTTCAGCGCAGGGGTGCAGACCAGCGTGCTCAACGCCTGGCTTGGGGCAACTACGTTTTCAGGGCGTGATCTCATGCCTCCTGAAAATGAAATGAATACTCAAGCACATGCCGACAAACACAGACACTGACTTTTGTAGAGGTTTCGATTCTGAACTGAAGGGGAAAAAACTGGAAAAGTTAAAACGAAATGGTTTTACTCAACTGATACCGTACTTGTCAACGGTTTTGCATTTTAAATGCGCTTTTCAATCAGGTTATGATCCTAAAAATAGCATCTACCTTATTATAAAATGTGTAAAAAAAAAAAAAAGGTAAATGGAAAGGTCCATATGAACTATTAGTTTGCAGTTTAGGAAATCAAAGGCAGAAAGAGAGGGGAAAAAAGCTACTTTTAGACAAAGTTATAACATAATGCATCAGAAAGCTTCCCTTTCGGAGAGAGGCAGGTGTTGAGCCGGAAGCCCCGAGGGTCAGAGAGGACTATCAAGGCAACACAGTGTTTTCCTCCAGAAATTCTGCCTCTGCTTTATTGGTGGCATTTTGCTCTTCCTCCTTATTGGCGCAACTTAAATCGGGTTTAAGGGGGTGAATAGAGGGTCCAGTCTTTATGACCGTTGTATGGCCGGTCTCTGCGGCCTGACCCCGCCGCCCGGGTGCCGGCTGCTGGCACTCAGCCCGTGAGCCCCGCCACTCGGACAGAGCAGGTGACAAGCTACTTATCCGTCCCTCGAGTCCTGAGGGGAGTGTGGGGCCCTCACAAAGACGAAATCCAACTTACCTGCGCTGAAGACGGGCTCCTTGGGTTTGCTGTGGAGACGAAAGAGAGACAGGTTTAGCGGGAGGCTTGGGGGGACGGTGAGCCTTGCTCACGGGGAGGCCGGTCCCGGATGCCACACCGGTGACGGTCATTAAAGAGAAAAACAAAACCACGCGATAGCAAAAAGGAACACGGGTATAGGATCGTGTCTAAAAGCGGGTGTGAAGGCTATAATCCCAGCCTTCTCCCCACGACTGAGCTTTGTATGAGAGCACGTGAGGGTCTAGGAAGAAAAGGTGCTTCACCAAGACGGGAATGGCTGCATCTACACGTGGAAAGCTTTGCTCTCCTTCCCTGTGCTCTTTTGTAGATTATTTAAATAATTTATTTAAAACCAGCGAATTCCTGACACAGGGCCTTCTGCGTAAGGACCCTCAGAGCTCAGCTCCTAGCAGGGCGGCTGCTATTAGAAGAAAAAGAGGACAAGAATAAAGATATCAGGGGTGCAGCCGTCTCAGTGCTGGGGGACCCCGCCGCGCACTTCCGCCAGGCTGGGACCATCCCTGACTGCCCCTGGGGGAACCAAGCCCCCGGTGCATTCAAGGTCATCCCTAGGGGCAGGCTTCCATGCGGGGAGCTCCCACAAGGAGGGCCCTGGGTAGGAGGATATGCCTACTCCTTCCCAAAACAAGCACCTGCAGGGAGAGGTTACCCCCCGCCTGCCAGGCCAGGGAAGGGACTCTCGGGCAGGACAGCACATGTGTCCTGTTCAATCAGAGAGCCAGTGCCTGGTCCCCAGTCTGTGAGACTCCTGTGTCTGCCCCGTGCTCCCGTGTACCACCCCGCTTTCTGGAGGACCTCCTGCTTTCACACTCCGAACAAGACAGACTGCGTAAAGGAAAGCCACCCCCGAGAGAGCCTGAGGAAGCACACCAATGTGTGTGTGCCATGTTTTTTTAAAAAGTACCTGAGCTGGGCGCCTGGGTGGTTTAGTGGGTTAAGCCTCTGCCTTCGGCTCAGGTCATGATCTCGGGGTCCTGGGATCGAGCCCCGCATCGGGCTCTCTGCTCAGCGGGGAGCCTGCTTCCCCCTCTCTCTCTCTCTGCCTATCTCTCTGCCTACTTGTGACCTCTGTCTGTCAAATAAATAAATAAATAATCTTTAAAAAAAAAAAAAAGTACCTGAGCTGATAGAGCATTAATACTACTTTTCTCCTCCATTTTTTTCAAATACATTGAGAAACACCACGAGTAAGGATTAGCTGTGACCTGGGGGCGCCTGGGAGGTTCAGTCAGTTGGGCGACCAACACTTGATTTCAGCTCAGGGCGGGATCTCGGGGTCGTGGGATCGAGCCCCGCGTCGGGCTCCATGCTCAGCACAGAGTCTCTCCCTCCCGCTGCTCCTCCCCCAACCCTCTTGAATAAACAAATGAAATTTTGTAAAGAAAAAGAATTAGCTGTAACGCAACAATATAATAAATGCTATTATCAATGTCCTTTATTCCCAGAAAATTTTATGCTGTACAGGGGGGGCGGGAGGAGGGGACGGGACTCTGGACTGATGCTTTAGAAACGCTCTGCTCAGATGTGTTTTAAATAGTCGGATCCATGGCATGACGCTGACCTTTGGTCACCGAAAACTACTCTGGAAGCACGGGACAATCTTTACTGTGACAGTCTGTCTTCCACTGGCCCCTAAGGCCCTACTGTCACCTCTCCCGACAACTCTCTTTTTCTGTCCGCCTCTCCCCTGTCCCCTCTGGTCACTGAGTGAGCTGCCCTGTCCATGGTGGCCCTCACTAGTGCCGGAGCTCAGCTCCTGTGTCAAGCCTCTCCCCTGGCTTTCCTGCCTCCTGGACACAGGTCCCACGGCCCCTGCATTGTCTGGGCTTTGAGCCACTTCCCAGAGAGGCCTCTCTGATACTCTGCTCTGCAACCCCTTCCGGTGCTGCCCCTCTGCCCCCATCCCCTCCCCCCCCCACACTGCTACAGGGAGGTGCCTCCAGAGGGCAGGGACCTCTGCTCGTCTCACTGCTGGGTTCCCTGCCTGGCACCTGGTAAGGCTGGGTCGTGTGGGGGGGGGCTTCCCTTGGCTCCCCCGTGGGGTCTGTAGACTTCACCATGCACCGCGCCTCCAGGGCTATGGGCTCTTGGTCTTTCCTGGAGGGGCGGCCGGCTCTTGCCCAGCACGTGCGTGAGCCCCACAGGGACACCATTTCTCCTGGTTCCGCTGCTCCGCCCTCGGGCAACAGCAGCCTGACGTGCCCGTGCCCCAGAGAGGGTGTCCTGCACTCCTGACCTGCTCCCGGTCCGTCCCGAGCTCACTGCAAGTCCACAGAAAGGCAGGAGTGTGTGTGTGTGTCCCTGGTGCCAGGGGCTCCCAAGACTTCCAAACGATGGTGCCAGTCCACACTCAGCTTAATTATCCCGTGAGCTTCCAGTTGTTTCTTCCGACGTGCGTCCAGGAAGGCTCCTCTCCTTCTGTCGCTCTGCCCAAGATGAGCACAGCCAAGGGCCCGTCTCTCCCAGGACAGGCTTGTCATCGTGTGGATTTCTAGCTCAGCATGAGTACTCTGCGACCTCAGCTCCAGGGTGGGTTTAAAATAGCCGTGGTTTTGCAGATCACCGGCCTGGGTTCCCTGTCGGGGCCAGAGCGACACTCCTGGGATCACCCAAGTCGAAGCACGAGTCTGACCTCTGACTTTCACGTACTGTTAGCTTCCCGGGCGGGGGAGGACACGCGGGGTTAACGTTGTACCGCAAGACTGCAGAGCAAGCTGACTGTTAGAGGGACATCATGACAGGGAACCGGAAGACACGAAGGCCATTTTTCCATCATGACTTTGATCACGAAAACCACGAACACAGGAATAAGCCATCCAGAACCTTTCCTGGAGACTGAAAAGTGCGATTATGAACTCTGTCCTTCTCAGAGAGAGAGAGAGATCCACAGGGCAGTTTGAATTCCAAACACAGGAAGGCCCGCGGACTTTTGAGGCTGAGCTTGTAACATAAGAAGAACAATCAACGATCTCTGTGAAAACACCAGAAACGAGGGCGCCTGGGTGGCTCAGTCGGTGCAGCATCTGCCTCTGGCTCAGGTCATGATCCCAGCAGGGAATCTGCCTCTTCCTCTCGCTCTGCTCTCGCCCCCTCCCTCGTGCCCTCTCTCTCAAATAAATAAGTAAAATGTACTAGAAACGGCAGTGTGAGTGTTAACAATCGAGGGTCACAGAGAGAGGCCCCAGGTAGCGCTGCTCCTAGTTCTTAAATTTTGCTCTGAACTGTGCATCACATTTTGCACCTATTACATTTAGAAAGGATACTACTGCTGCGTTTCATTATTCTAGAAAGCTACATTGTTATAGAATATACACTCTTTACTTGCGAACCCATTATTGCCATCTGCACCCCTTCCTAAACGGCGCCGGAGTGCCAGGGGAGAGGGCGTCCCAGTCCTGTGTGCAAGTCTTATAGGTACAAATGGACGGACTGACAGTGAACCTTTCCAACTAGCAGCAGAGGGACGAACCCCAGAAGGGGCGATGACGACAGCGATCCAAGATTAAAGACACTATGGCCTCCAGTCAAAATCCATTCAGAACACCTGTCCTTTCCAAAACTCGCGGTTGGCAGATTGAGAGCGGACCCTGGGAACCTGATGCTGTTGCCTGGGCTGCAAGTTTGCTTGGTGCAGGACGAGACCCCCCGTCCAGTGTTGCGTGACTGGTCTCCTGTGACCTGTTCCTTAGCGTGAGCTAAGTGGGGAAACCTAAGTGTGCCCCCCGTGGGGAGGCTGACGCAGGTGTTCCCCCCCCGCTCCCCCTAGAGTGACTTGAGCACGGAGGAGAGACAGGATTTCCCCTCTGCTGAGCAGACCTTTGCTTCTTGGCTCTTCTGCACTGGGCGGTGGCCCATCCCTCCAAAATGAACAGTGTTGCAGTCGGGTATGGCTTTTACGGCTCTGTTTTGGCAGGAAGATTTGCTGGAAGAGTTTGGCTGTGTGTTTCCTTGAGCAGTTGGCTCAGGAGACGATCGGAAGGACTCTCAGACACTGTAAGCAGTACCTGGGGACTCACGGAGGAGGCGAGGCAGCCGAGAGCCTTTGCCAGACCAGCAGCTGGATCTGGAGGAAACCAAGCCACCGAACAAAGGAAAAGTTCCTGCTGGGAGCCGTGAGCTCGCACCCATGCAGCAGCTACAGCCACCTGGGTCCACGTCGCGTGTTACCAGCGCCCCGATAACATCCACTGTGGACTCTGGGCACAGCGCTGGTCTCCTAGTGGTTGTCTGTCTGTTCATCCGCTAACACTCACCTGCCCCAAGGAAGGCTGGGTGTGCACAGGGAGGGGCGTCTGGTGGAGAACTTGCTAGGACTCCAATGCAAGCCGCATCCACCCTGCTCCTCTTCTGCGGTGGGATCTGCGCTCGGCACTTCCCTATCTATTACCTAATTTGCCCCACGTGCCTGAAAGGGAGCTCAGGGGCCCAGGTCCTGTGCACTGCAAGTCTGACACCTGAGTGCCGTGTGTGAGGGGGACCTGTGGGGGACCAGGATGAGAGCAGAGCCAACACGTGTCCAATGCTGTTTGAGGAGAGACACTTGTTTTTGAAAATGACTGCTCAGGCTCAAGGAGGACACCATTCCAGAGACAAACGTGTTATTTCTCTGAAACTTATTCACCTGTGAAAACTGTTGTTCTTGGCACACACGCCATGAGTCCTTCTGAAAAGGACCCACTTGAAATAACATTTCCACTGGAAATCAAAATACTTTACCGCGTAAGACATGACTCTCCATATAAATGCCCTTACGCGGCTTTCTGCTAGAAAGAGGGTCATTTAGGAACCATCTAGAAGAGTTTAGAAGTCACTGGAGACCTCGCTGGGAACAAAGATCGTTTCATAGACATTTCCAGCCAATACTTCCAGCTTAATGTGGCAGAACGAGCCCAGATTTTGAAGTCTGCTGCACCTTACTCAAGTCAGGCAAGAAGCTTTACCTCTGTAAGCCCTACTTTCTTTCACCTACAAAATGGGACTAAATCCA